TAATGAAAATATAAATGGTGCTGAGTATATTAAACAATGTAGGATTATGTTTTCCTGCAGAGCAGTGGCATTATTTTACTAGAATTGTTAAAAATAGGTGGAGTTGTGCATGTCCTCATGCATTCTTGGACATTTGGATCATAAACTGTAATGGAGAACATGAGGAGTTCCACCCAGTCACAATTTTTAAGATAAATCCTTCAAATAATTACATTTTCCCCACAAATAAAAAATACTAATTATCATATAAGTGCACACAGGTTTTTAAACAGTCAAGTGCTATGGTGAAATGGAACAAGGGTTGCCACAGCGAACTAACTCACACAAAGACTTGGCAATTATTTTTATGCCGTTGCTGATGCAACCACAGACCACCGAGCTACCACAGCCCCTCTGTGTGGTGCAGAGAGCTGCCATCTAGGGTGTCCGGGGGAGCAGATGGTGGGGGTTAGAGGCCTTGCTCAAGGGCCCAGAGTGGGGCAAATGAGGGTGGAAGCAGGACTTAAAGATATTGCTTAAAAATTATTTGTGTATAAATTTGTTAAATTTAGGTAAATTTATGTTTTTAGCTAAATTTATTCTGATAAAAACAAAAAACCTGCAGCCAATGTGCTCTGTTATTTGGAGGTTCTTGTGAGTAAGTTTCTGGTCAGATCATTTCATATTTTAAACTTCTTTCATGTTCTTTTGATTTAAAGACACATGGTTGATAGTGTTTTTCTTGTAGTTGTGTTTATTTTAGATTTTTAAAACTGAAACAAACAAACAAAAAAAAAAACAGTTTTGTCCCCCATCACAGAACGAAAAGGTGAAATTGGAAATACACCTCGTCCATCCGTGCATGTTGTGAGCATGATGGAAAGTAAGTAAGGTACCGACATCCATTTTTGTTATGTGGCTGCATCAAGAAAGATTACTTTCAAAAACTGGCTGTCAAATATATGTATATACCGGTATATGGATAACTTCAAACCTGTGGATCCACAGTCATTTTGGTATGTGGCTGCGTAACATATATATATGTATATATGTATGTGTATATATATA